CCCCGGGGCAATGGGAGTTGGTGGAGCTGGTGCCTAATGGGCCATTTCCTGGCTGCCATCTCCGCCGTGCTCCCTAAAGGGCCCAGCAGCCTGCCTAGTCCATGGGCTACGCTGGGAGATTCTCCAGGGCGGGGGAATGAAACGGGATGCTCCCCAAGCCATGAGCTGGGACCAATGCTGCAGACAGATCTGGCTGGCTCTGGGGGCTACGGGAATGCCCCCGTCACTCACTCTCACACAGTCGCCCACAGAGCCCGGATTTGGGCACAAAGAGGTGAGGAGACAGTCTGCTTGTGCACAAACATGGCTTCCTGGGAGATTCTCCAGGGCGGGGGAATGAAACGGGATGCTCCCCAAGCCATGAGCTGGGACCAATGCTGCAGACAGATCTGGCTGGCTCTGGGGGCTACGGGAATGCCCCCGTCACTCACTCTCACACAGTCGCCCACAGAGCCCGGATTTGGGCACAAAGAGGTGAGGAGACAGTCTGCTTGTGCACAAACATGGCTTCCTGTGCACCCCACAAGGCTATCCCCAGGTACAGCCATGGCCTTTCCTGCACAAAACCCACAGAGGTTCCTACACATACACACCGCTGCCCAAACAAACGTGCACACACGCACACACACACAAGCAACTGCACAAACACACAGACTCATACACAAATCTGGACCCTCATGTCCAGATGCACGGACAATGCACACTCACACACTGGTGAAAACACATGCACGTGCACAAACACACCCACCCAGGCACAAGCACAAGCAGAGCCCAGCCTGCCCCCACGCACCGCTGCCTTGTCACCAAGTTGATGTAATGTCGGAGGGCAGAGAAGTACTTGGCCATTTCTTCTGGGGAGGCATCGTCTCCGGGGTTCTCTGGCTTGGGGGGGTAGGCCTCCACCAGCACCCCCAAGCAGAACAGCACGCACAGGGTCGTGGCAACCAGCACGGGCCAGAGCTTCACAGAGGCGACCATCTGGGAAAGGGACAAAAACACCAGGCAAATACAGAGGCCCCCTCCCGGCCTCGCCCCTGCCCCCAGCACGGAGGGCAGTTGCATTTCTGCGGGGCAAGACCCGCTAAACGTGGCCTTGAACTGCGTGAATCTCCAAGCTGGGGACAAAAGTTCCCCTTGGCCGCGGCTAGACCCAGTTCTGCCCTGGTCACCCTGCGACCAGCACGCCCGGGCCTCGAGTTTGAAGCTGCAATAGGACAGCTCTGGCTCCCACCTGCCCATGTGGTCAAGGGCATGGGACACCAGTAAGGGCCTGGCTCTGCCACTGAGCTGCTGGGAGCCCTGGGCAAGTCACTTCTCATCTGTGTGTGTCTCAGCTGGCAGTTCTGCCTCCCAGGAGGTCGTTATCATACAAATCACAACAGGAGCAATGGTCCAGCTGCAGCCAGGCCCCATCCCCTATGGGGCAGATGAGCCTTCCCAGTCCCCAGAGGACAGCTTGCTGTCACACCCCGCCCAGGGGACACCCCCATGCACCAAGGGGACCGCCCCTGAGTTAACGAGCGCCCATGCACACGAAGCAGGGGCCGGGTTTTGTTCCCCTTTTCTGATTCCTGGCCTGTGGTTCCACGCAGCATTGAGGGTCCTCTCATTCGTGCTGGGGCTGCTCCCCAGGGCCGTGTGATTGTAACTACGAGGTGAATGTGGCTTTTGGGGGCCCCGCACACAAAGCTGGGGCCTTCCAGGGAGCCTGAATGCAGCACCCAGCACCCTCTGGCGTCCCATAAACACGTCGTTTTCCTACCACCCCAGCACAGCTCCGGGGTGGGACACAGCAGCTGGTCACACTGGCGGCCTGATGCGCGGGGCATTGCTCCAGTGCAGCACAGATCAGCCTCTGGGCCCCGTTTCTGCTTCCCAGGTGTATTGCAGGGGATGAACACACTGGTATCGGGCAAGGTGCTGTGCAGTGGGGGAGCGAGACTCCTCTACACCTATTCATGCAGGACCCAGACCTACCCGGACGAAGGATGCAGCTAGGACCAGCCTGAGCTCTGTTGCGCCTATCGTGTCCCCTTGGTGCAAATGCCCAGAGCTCCCTGGGCGTGTGTGTGCATCCGTAGGGTGACAGGGGTAGCGCTCGCCCACTGGCTGTGTGCGGGAGCTGCACAGATGAGAGGAGGGGCCCAGAGGGGTCGCTCTGTGCCGCGTTTCTCTGCTCGACAGTGATTGTAAAGGGGGAGGGGCGCCAGGCTCCGCATGCCCATCACCACAATTGCTTTGCGCCAGACGGTGCCTGCGGTGCCCGTGGCCGATGGTGCCCTCACCCAGCATGGGCCACAGGGCACACGCTGGGCCACAGGGCTCTGCTAGGTGACGCCACCGAAATCAGCAGC